GGGTTTTGACCCACTTATCATCATCAATTTCAGCTTCAACAACAATCCGAAGGGATGGAATTTCAACTTCCGCGGGTATAACTACTTCTGTGCCATATACCAATAAGTAAGGGGTTGCACTTACTGAAGTGCGAACAGTAATGCGATAACCCAACAACGCAAAGGGCAACTTCTCATGCCATTGCCTGGAACCTTGCACCATTGTCCGAAGTATCTTCTTTATGTTTTTGTTGGCTGCCTCGACTGCTCCATTCGACTTGGGGCGATACGGGGTGGAATTGCGAAGCGTGATCTTAAACTGTTGACACACTTCTTTAATCAAATGAATTTTAAGATTAACCCCATTATCTATGATGATCACCTTTGGGATTCCGAACCGACAAATGATATTTGAATGAACCAAATCGACCACTGCCTTCTTGGTCTCAGACTTGAAAGTTTTAGCTTCAACCCACTTAGTGAAATAATCAATGGCCACCAGAATGAACCTGTGCCCATTGGATGCTGCTAGCTCAATTGGTCCAATGACATCCATACCCCAAGCAACAAAGGGCCATGGCGCGGACATTGTGTGCAATTCAGATGGCGGAGAATGAATCAAATCTCCATGTACTTGGCATTGATGACATTTGCGCACAAAATTGAAACAATATCGCTCCATGGTGAGCCAATAATAACCCGCCCGAAGAATCTTCTTTGCCAAAACGTACCCACTCATGTGCGGCTTGCAAACCCCCGGAATGTACTTCGGTCATGATAGTCGTGGCTTGTCTAGCATCTATGCATCTTAACAATCCAAGATCTGGAGTTCTTTTGTACAAAACTCCCTGGTGTACACTCCCATCCTGATATACTCCCTGATGTCATGAAACCATGGTTCACCGTCAAGTTCTTCCTCAACCACATTACAATAGGCATGTTGATCACGAACTTGAATATGAAGAGAGTCAACATAAGCTTTGTTCGGATGGTGCAACATTGACGCCAAGGTAGCCAAGGCATCAACAACCTCATTATGGATCCCTAGAATGTGCCTAAATTCTATAGAACGAAACCGTTTATAGAGATCATGCAGACATTGTCGATATGATATAAGCTTTAAATCCCACATCTCCCTTTCTCCTTGAATCTAGTGCACTAGAAGGTCTGAGTCTCCCAAGACCAAGACTTCCTGGATTCCCATATCTACAGCTAGCCTTAAACCTAAAATGCATGCCTCGTACTCAGCCATGTTGTTGGTACAATAGAAATGAAGATGAGCCGTAGAAGGGTAATGATGCCCTATTTCATAAATGAGTACAGCTCCTATCCCAATGCCTTTCATGTTAGCAGCCCCATCAAAGAAGAGTTTCCAACTCGGCTTTTCCTCATTCTTGACCTCATCAATGTGCATTACCTCTTCATTAGAAAAATAAGTCTTCAAAGGTTCATATTCTTCATCCATCGGGTTCTCGGCCAAGTGATCGGCCAAAGCTTGGGCTTTCATCGCCGTCCGAGTCACATATACGATGTCAAACTCTATGAGCAAGATCTGCCACTTTGCGAGCCTTCATGTGGGCATAGGCTTTTGAAAGATATTCTTTAAAGGATCCACGCGAGAGATGAGGGTGTAGGAAGACAAGTAATGCTTCAACTTCTGTGCTACCCAAGTCAAGGCGCAGCATGTCCTTTCAAGGGGAGTATACTAACCTCATAAGATGTGAACTTCTTGCTGAGATAGTAGATGGCTTGCTCTTTCCTGCTAGTGATGTCATGCTGACCCAACACACAACCAAATGAGTTATCTAGGACTGTAAAGTAAAGAATCAAATGTCCCTCTGGTTCCGGTGGGACCAGCATGATTGGGTTTGACAAGTACCCCTTTATCTTATCAAATGCTTCCTGACACTCATCAGTCCACTTGAACGTAGCATCCTTCTTCAAAAACTTAAAGATAGGCTCACAAGTTGTCGTGAGTTGAGCAATAAACCTATTGATATAGTTCAGCCTCCCTAGCAGACTTATCACCTTGGTCTTGTTTCTTGGAGGTGGTAATTCTTGGATAGCTTTAATCTTTGATGGATCTAATTCAATGCCCCACCAACTGACTATTAATCCCAACAATTTCCTTGATGGAATACCAAATGCACACTTTGCAGGGTTGAGCTTAAGATTGTACCTACAGAGCCTCTAGAAGAACTTTCTCAAATCTCTGACGTGGTCAGACTTCTTCATGGACTTTATGATCACATCATCCACGTAAACCTTGATCTCCTTGTGTATCATGTCATGGAATATGGTCGTCATTGCCCTCTTGTAAGTTGCCCAAGCATTTTTCAAACCAAAATGCATGCCCCTGTAGCAATATGTTCCCCACAGCGTGATGAATGCCGTCTTTTCCGCAACTTCCTCATCCATTAAAATCTGATGATAGCCCGCATAGCAATCCACAAAATACCAATCTCATGCTTGGCACCATTATCAATCAAAATGTGGATATTTGGCAATGGGAAGTTGTCCTTTGGACTTGCCTTGTTGAGATCACGGTAATCAACACACACTCTAGTCTTACCATCCTTCTTTGGCACATGCACAACGTTGGCTAACCATGTGCGATACCGCATGACTTGAATGACCTTTGCATCAAGCGACTTTGTGACCTCTTCTTTAATCTTTACACTCATGTCATTTTTAAATTTTCTCAACTTCTGCTTGACGGGAGGGAATGCTGGATCAATTNCACACAAAAATATCCTTATACTTGAACAATGCTTTAATTACTTATTCCCTTATTTACGGTTCAAGATGGACACTTATCTTAGTTTCTGACATTATCTGGGTCCCCTAGATTAATTGCTTCCGTATCATTCAGATTAGGCTTGAGTTTTTCTTCAAAATGACTTAGTTCCTTACTAATCTCTTCAAAGGCCTCATCCTCATCATACTCTAATTCATCATCACACTCTATTTCTTTGATTATTATTTCAAAATTATATTGACTTTTAAGACTGGGCCGAAGATTCCACATGCATGTCATGTCATTGAAACTAGCATAAAAAGAACTGTATAAAGAAGAAAAGAAAAACAAAAATAAAACTATCAAGAATGATGGAAAAGGAAAATTGCATTTCATTAAAAATAAAGGATAACAGGGTTTGTACATCAACAAGCGAAAAATAATAGTCTGGGTCACAACCCTGGAATGACCTAGATAGAAAGGAAAACAAAACAAACTACCAAGACTCCTTCCGAGTAGAGAGAGGAGTAGCCTTCCAATTGTTAAGCACATTCGGTCCGACGAACTGCACGTCTGCTTTGCTAGAACCTTCTCCGCCTTCTACCATGTTCACATCATCAAACAACCTCTAGAATCTTTCAATTAACTCCTGATCAATGTCAACCATGGAACTTGGAACTATCGTCGCATTTCCTGGCACCGGGCTTGACAAAAGAACTGGAGAGACATGGAACAGGCTTTAAAAGTGCCCACGCCTTCTGTTTCAACCTTTTAGCCCTTTTTACATCTGCCATTGTGGGTTTAAATCCAAGATTGAACGTACCCAACTTCTTAGGGAGGGACACTGGTTGTATGATACCCTGCAGAGATGCACCCAGACCTTTACCGGGTACAAAGCCATTTTTCAGCATTTCAAAGGCCACCATGACTGATGCGGAGGTTATCTTTGGGGTTGGAACACATTTCCCTTCTGGAACCTTCTCCACCGGCACTGTTTCAAAAACTTGATAGACCCAAGGCCCTTTGTCATCTTCAACCTCAATGAATGGGACAGAGGCATCACTGTGAGCACACAAGTTATCTTCACCATGCACGACGATCTCTTGTCTATCCCATTCGAACTTGACCATCTGGTGCAGAGTGGACGGGACTTCTTTGGCGGCATGAATCCAAGGTCGACCTAATGGCAAATTGTAAAAGACAGTTACGTCAAGCACCTGGAACTCTATGGTGAATTCCACTGGTCCCATTGTCAACTCAAGCACTATATCACCAACTGAATCTTTCCCTCCACCGTCAAATCCCCGAACGCAGATGTTGTTCTTGTGAATCCTCGCATCATCCACTTTCAACTTGTTTAGAATAGAGAGAGGGCAGATGTTTGCACTGGAACCATTGTCAACTAATACCCTGGTAACCACAGAATCTTCACATTTTACCGTAAGATAGAGAGCTCTATTGTGTTTAGTACCTTCCACGGGTAACTCGTCATCAGAGAAGGTGACCCTATTCACCTCAAATATTTTGTTGGCGATCTTTTCCAGATGGTTTACTGAAATTTGTGGGGAACATGAGCCTCATTCAGAATTTTCATCAAGGCCTAACGATGCTCGTCTTAATGGATTAGCAATGATAATAACGAATTCTGAGTATGCGTCTTTCTCAACTGCTCCACGATGGAATAATCCTGTACCTTCATCTTTCTCAGAAACTCCTCTGCTTCCTCTTCAATGACTGCTTTCATTACTAGAACTAGGTTATCTCTGGATGTTTTAGCTTTCCTTAACTCTTTCGGGGAAAGGCATCTCCCCAAACGAGTTAATCTCTGGGCCTCATTGACTTCTTCCTTCCCTTCCCTTCCCTTATAGGTCACTATCACCCGTTCATAGTTCCATCGAATGGCCTTGGTGCTGATTACCGACAACTGAGTTACAGGCTTAATGATGACAGGATCCATACAGGCACCCTCTACAATTATGATAGGCTTGTTTGCCACTCCTGGCACAACCACTTTTGACTTTTCTTGCTTCGCCGCGACATCACTTGGGGATCCTTCCTTGACTACCACAGATGGTTCACCGTTTGCCCTGCTCAACTTGTTCACTAATCCTTCAATTGTTGATTTTTAAACTGGCTTGACCTCACTGGACCGAATCATCATGATGGTCTGTGAAGGCTTCTTGGGATCCCTTCCCTTATGTACTATCTTGATCATGTTTATTTCCTGATAGTTTGGAAATGGGTTCTGGTTGATGTTGGATGCCTCTGGAGTCTGGACTTTAATCTAGTTTGTGTCAATGAGCTCCTGGATGGCATTTTTCAGGTGCCAACACTTCTCCGTATCATGCCCCGGAGTACCAGAACAATACTCACAGCTTACGGAGTAATCAAGGTTCTTTGGAGGAGGGTTTGGCAATTTCGACTCAATTGGCCTCAACATATTTAACTGCCTTAATATATGGAACAAATTGGTATAAGACTCCCCCAACGGGGTGAAAGTTTTCTTCCACTATAACCTTTTGTTTTTGAATACTGGATTGGGCCAGAAGCCTGGGCCGGTAAGGTTTCGGTAGGCTTGTAGGGGTGGGTAAGCATTTTGTGGAGCTGGGTAGGTGTTTTGTGGGGCTGGGGCACGCCATTGTGCGTAGGCAGGAGGTTGAGTATATGTTTGGGCGTGGTGGACAGAAATATGACGGTCTGGTGATGGGAAGTAATGTTGGGGTGGATTATATTAGGTTTGAGTGTAGGTTCGGTGATGGGGTCGAGGCTGGGTATATTGGTGTGACTGGCCCCTGGGTCCAAACCACGATCCTGAATCAACTGTTCCCACGTCTTCTTTCTTCTTCTTCTTTCCAATCACTCCCTCAGTACCATTCTGAATGGATTGGGTAGTTGCCTTGATAGTTGAGTAACTCATGATTTTGCTTGATTTAAGCCCTTCTTCCACCATGTCGCTGATCTCCACTACCTCATTGAAAGACTTGCCTATGGACGATATCAGATGGCCAATGTAAGTGGGCTCTAGAGCCTGCAAAAAGTACTCCACCATTTTTCTCTCCTCTATCGGAGGGTTGACTCTTCCCGCCTGTTCTCTCCAGCGGAAACCATACTCTCTGAAACTTTCACTTGGCTTCTTCTCAATTTTAGTCAAAGACAAACGATCTGGAATAATCTCGATGTTACACTGGAAATGATGAGCGAATGGTTGGGCCAAATCATCCTAGGTATACCATCTACTGTGATCCTGACGAGTGTACCACTTCAAGGCCAAACCACTCAGACTCTGGCTAAAGTATGCCATCAATAGCTCATCTTTCCCACCGGCTCCTCCCATTTTACTACAGAATCCCCTCAAATGGGCCACCGGATCTCCATGCCCATCATACAAATCAAACTTCGACATCTTAAACCCCACATGCAACTGAACATCGGGGAATAGACACAAATCCTTTTAGGCTACGCTCACCTGGCCTCCCAATCCCTGCATGTTTTTGAATGACTGTTCCAGGCTTCTAACCTTCCTGAACATCTCGTCATGCTCTAGGTTTTTGGGTGGTTTCTCAGTCTCAACAGGGAGGTCTTATAAGACTAACGCTCTGGGGCCTTGAAAGTAGGTTCCGGTGGGTAGTATTGGTTATCCTGGGTTTGGAATAAGAGCTTACTGGAGAATCTATAGGGCGTAGCGGGTGGGGGTGCTACGAAAATAGGGTGGCTGGTGGAGGCGGGTATTGGACTGGTTTGGGTGGTGGTGCTTGTGGTGTTTGGGAAGTGGTGCATTGGTAGTGGTGGTAAATGGGAAATCCTAGCGGGACGAAAGTAGGGTTGGTGAGGTAGGATGGTTGTGTATGCCCTTTTACCCATGCTTGGTACATCTATGCCATATGGTGTTTCAGCTTATACAACTCTTTTTTCAAATTAACATCAGACTCTTCCCCCTCTCTTGACGAATCAATAACACTTGCATCCAGTTCTTGGTTAGCCATGATCAACTTGTCTTTGGACCTGGTGTTGTACGGGTAAGTTGCCAGAATGCCAAACAAACTAACCACCTGCCTGGACTTGACGACAAAAACAAACTTGTTAGCTCTTAGAGCTTAACAGATAGGCAACTGCATGTTGGGGATGCAATGCACCTAAGCAGTCAACCATTTCTACTATGCATTTGAACGGCTGCTTGTGTCATCCCGTCTTTCACTAACTTTCAATTTTCAAATTATCTCCTTTCTTTTCTATTTTTATTCCTGCTTTTCTTTGCTTGGTTCACTCATTTTCACTCTATCATTTTGCCATTATTTTCTTCCCCACAATTTTCTTGTTTTCTCTCTCCTCTTTTTCTCTTTTTTTCTTCTTTTTTTTCTTCTTTTTCTTCTTTTTTTTCACGGTTGTGATTGAATCCTATGGGGATTGCTTACGTATCATGATGCTGCATGAATCAGACCAAGCGTAGTTCTGGGGGATAAGTGTAAAAATAAAAATAAATAAAACAAGCATTTTTGGGTTTTTCATAAAAAACATCTTGATTACAACGACTTATCCTACAGAATTTAATCATAAAAACTAACAGAATTGAAAAGGGGACTAACAAAATATGGAAATGCATACTAGAAAAAGGACTAACAGACTCTGGAAGAAAAATGAAAATACAGACTCGAAATCATGAATACATAAGCGCCTCAATTGCTCCGGGGGCCCATGGGACATCAATCGGTCTCGTCATGGGCCTATGCGTAAAATCCCCTTGAAAACGCTCCAGGTCACTCATTATTTGGCGAACAAAGGTCATTACCGCGGTAAAGAAGGTGGTTCTAGTCATGTCTTCACATTCATGGCACTTCATGACGATGTAGTTAGCAATTGCTCTAACTCTCTCCCTGATGATACCCTTTTCTTGGAGAAAACACCCTATTTTCTAAGACCTAGCTTCTAGAACCTGGGCATCATGATGGTTTTGACCTTGCAATTGTTGCATATCTTCCTATAACTAGGCCATTAATGCATAGCAATGTTCCCTTTCTACTTTAAAGTTCTTAGCTTGTTTGGCCATCTCATTTTCGAGGGTAGTTAGCCTTTTCTTCAAATTTGTGATTGTTCCCTTATATTTCCTTTTCAAATACCGGACAAACTCTGCTCATCCCTCTGCGTTCTTCAGTAACTGTGCTCGGGCCCTCGCCAAATTACCCTCGAATTTTTCCAGATTATCCTTACACTCAGCTATTTTCCTCGTAAGCCCACTTATGAGTCTTTCATCCTTTTGGCTCTTTTCTTGATTCTCAGCAGCTATTTTCATTTTTTGGATCTGTGCTCGAAAAATTGCTTCTTTTCCCATTCATCAGCAGCGGCTTGTACACTTTTGTCAAATTTAAGATCCCGGATTTGTCCCTCCAATTTGCTTATGGTGGCTCTGTAGCTTGCCTCTTTTGCCAACAAATCCTATTGCTCTTGTACCCCATCAGTGAATTATGGGACATGGGGCCTTTTTGCAGGCCGTTCGGGATCTTGATGGGCTTGAGACCTTTTGCCGTACCAAGCTGTGTAACTAGGCTCCAACTCGCCTCTAGATAGATCTCGTACCTGAGTCTTTGGCTCTAAGAACCTACATTGATGCCAAATCCAACGCACCCTTTCTTCCGGGAAAGCAGCTTTTGGTTCCAATTCGATGACATGCCGACTCAAATCCTCATCATGTGAGATGGTCTAGTACCTGCCTAACTGGCATAGAACTCTGTACGGGGCACAAGGCTGAATGCTCCGGAGACCCATCAATAGAAGAAAACACAGAAAACACACCTCGGCCGACATATAAATGACTTCACTAACCGAGAGCCACCCGAATGTCCATTCAATCTTGTTTGCAGTCAGGGAGCTCAAGTGTGCAAACCATGCTTCCGTACCATCCAGAAACTCATATCCCTCCACCCGTTGTTCATGTTTTTCAATGCGTTAAATACCGGTCATACCAAGGTTCATGTACCCCGGGCGGTGGCAAAGGTGTTCCTCCATCTAGAGTTGTAGAAGCATATTGCATCATTCAAAAAACTTTCCTCTTTTTCGGCAAACGGTTAGAGCTCGATAAATCTCTGCCAATATCATCGGTACAATGGTACCATTCGCCTTTTTAGTCATGAAATCGGCTATTCCCACAAGCCCCAATACTATGTTTCCATCCTTTCTTGGACAAATCAAAGCACCCAGGAATGCCACTATAAAAACAAGTCCCCGCTGAGTTTCCCACTTGTCTTTGTTCCCTGAATGCGTAAGACCAGTATCTGGCATCTCAAAACCGTGGGGATTCCCATAATGACGGTACAAGAAGTAGAATATGAAAAATCCCTTAGCCAAATTTCCGTCATGAACTTCCCGACTGATGCTAAAAAAGATCCAGAAACTTATGGGGAGTCACTGTTCTATGTGCCACCGGGTATTGATTTCTGAGATTCCCACTAAAACCAGCATAGCCCGCTATTTCCTCAAGCATGAGAGTTAGCTCAAAATCAGCAAAATGGAACACATTATGTGTTGGGTCCAAAAGGGGTATCAGAGCCTCAATTATGTCCTTCCTCGGATTAATATTCAAAAAACCAACAAGACCGCCTAAAGCTTTTATCACAGTTTTTCTACTGACTTCCCCTAGATCATTCCACCATATATGTAGCTCTAACGGGATCTCCTCGAGGACTGTGAAAGGTTCATCTTCAATCGTGTTCATCCTGCACATTTATTTTAAGTGATTGATTAAAAGACTGTGATTCACTTTGACTCAAGAGAAAAATACCAGTTTTCAAAAATTGCAATTTGAAACAAAATACTTTTGCGAATACAGCCTTCCAGCGCCCTTTTGGGGCATTTTGGCTATTTCGGACAAGAACGACATCACCTAGCTTATTTATGACAAAACAGCGATACTTTATATTTTTGGGTTATTTTTGTAAAAATGGAGATGAGGGTTGCCTATGTATCTCACATCCGGTGAGAATCAAACTTGCGTAGTTCGATCAACTTTGACGCAACAGAAAACACTAACTTTTTGAAATAGCCTTTTTTCTTTTCTTTTTTTCTGAAAAGAGTTTTGGGGTACATTGGACACCAGGTTTTTCACAGGAGGGTAATTTCCTCTCTCTCACCTCAATTTGGTTTTTCTCAATTTTCTCTCCCTTATTCTAGAAGCCGGTCAACATGCAATCTAAGTCAAATAAATGTGCAAATAGCAAGTAAAATGCATCAGGATGGTCTTTTGAATTTGGGTTCACCTGTCCTAGACGGACCCAACCCCTGTGTTGAGTCCCCAAAGTCAAATGCACGTGATGTAAAAAAGTGTTCCTACTAGGGATTCGGCATGAGGTTATGTTATACTAGGTTTGAAAACCTGGGTTCATTTGTTCTAGACCTAGCTTACCCGAGCGGACAGCTCGAGCCAGGGGGGAGGAGGCAGCGTACCGGGAATACAGAAGCTTCATCGGCTTTGCAACTTGTCCGAACCTCGTTCTAAAATTGGGATATGACTCTAACAGAAGAGAAGCTACACGAAGTGCACCCTTCTCAAATGATTTAGAAAACTCAGAGAGAGGAGGGATTCATAACCATTTATATACAGTTCAACAATATCAAAGCGGTAAAAAGAAACATTTAGCACATTAGGCCCGAACATGTGAATAAAACTAGATAATAAATAAAGCCAACTATAACAATTATTCTAAGCTCGAATTCTTGAACCCTGAACTAGAGATTCTGGGTTCGATCCCTACCAGAGTCACTTGAGCTGTCACACATCCTTTTTACCTACCCCCGGAAAGGGTATAAGGGAGTTTTTTTCCAATTTAAATGACAAACAAAATGGAATTATTTATTTATTGATCAGAGTCGCCACTTGGGATGATTTATTGTATCCCAAGTCACCGGTTTAAAATCCCGAATCGAGGAAGGATTGACTCTGTTTTACATTCCGCAAACACAGAAATACGGGTAAGGAATTCTATTAACCCGGGAGAAGGTGTTAGGCATTCCTGAGTTCCGTGGTTTTAGCACAATCGCTCAACTATTATTATTGGCATATTTATTTGATTTTAGAACACTTTTAAGCCTATATGCATTTTTAACTTTTGAAAACCGCTTTTACTTATTTAAAGAATTAATTCAAGGTCATATAAAACATATCGCAAGCCACACTACATGAAATATACCCGTAGTTCACGACACATTCTATTTAACCTTGTTGGAAATTAGAACCGGGCCACATGAAATGTACCCCCGGATTTTAGTAATAACTGTTATAATTATAATTAGCGCACCTAAAGTAAACTACGAAGTTCATTTTTAATATCAACATTATAATATGTGTAAGGGCCATGGATGATTTAATTTTGCTTATGGCACACCTCAAGTCTATTTCTTCAAATGACGTCTTGA